CAATGTTTTTCTTAATTCTCAGGCACACACAGATCTTACATTTAATTTGACATATCGTTTACTTAAAAATATTAATGTCCAACATATTGGATATTAATTTTTTCAAAATTCAAATCAATGATAAGTTGAATTAAATGTAAGTCATGTTTGAGAATTAATACTATGAGAAGAAATCACGAAACGAGAGATGTATAGTAAAAATATCACTCCAAAAGGTGTACAGTCGATATGGTAAATCGGCAAATAATACGAAAATATTGATGTCCAGCGAAAAATTACTTTCCAAAGATAAACGTAATATTTTTAATAATTATGTTTTCCCTCGAAAACATTATTTTCAATATTATGTTAAAAAAAGAAGGGAAAATAATTCGCTTACACGATAAATCTGAGATCTGTGAAACTTATAAATTTATTTGTTGAATTTATCTTAGCTTTTTCTAATTAGCTTTTTCGAATGAAATGAAAACTTACTTGCAAGCTGAAATCAAAGGACCGAGATCGACCAAATTTGACAGAATCGGTGTCTGATCAATCAGATTTTCCGAGTCACATGATAGATGGTTGTCCGCGATGGGGGCATATCCGCCCATGTGACAGATTCTACAAATGTCGCCTGAGGCAATACATGTATCTGAAATTATTTTATTCTAATATGATGTCACTTATTTGAAAATTATCGGACATTAATAGTTATTAATGTTCTAATATGAATTATAACATAATTACTTCCTTTGAGATAAAATAGAGATACAGAATTTTATTTAATAATAAAAATAAGACATACTATCTTTGTCTTGTGATGTATCGACACGTTTCTCGTCATTTTCCTCCGTTTCTAGATCAGACTTTATGTTATCCAATATTTGACTCGTTTTGGATGCTGATATCCGAATCTCTACATTGACAGAACTTTCCGGACTTGCTTGCACGACGGATTTATCGCGTTCGTTCGCTACTAATAAATGCAACGTGTATCAAATTTTATATAATATATCTTTAATATATATGTACATATATACACACAAGTTATTAATTATTTTATCTATTTTGAAAGAGTAATAAGATTTAGAAAATTTGAAAAATCTTATTTTGCACATAAAATTTTCTTAGTTAACTAAATATAATTTTAATGTGTGTTAATATATAATATTAACCTTGTGCAAAATATATCAGATGTTGTCAGATGAAAAAATTAACGCTAACCTATCTCATTCGTACGTCCGCTGTCATTTTTAGGCTCTGCGCTCTCGACGTGTGACATCAAAGATGCTTTGCGCGCATTTTGATGTACGCGCTTCCGATAAAATCTAAAATTTCCCTCTAAAATTTTTCTGCAACCCGCTACTATCGGCAGATGTGTGTACTCATTTGTGTATGTCACGTTATTAGAGGTATGGTCAACGCGATGCTACAAACATTTTGAAGCGTTTTTTAATTAGTCAGTTTATAAAATGCTTTCTTCTAATTGGTCCATCAAATGCTTCAAAGCATTTGTAGCGAGACTTTGACCATAGCCCAAGTCATATGATGCGATCGAATTTTTTTATAAACAATCTATTAATTAGCTCAGAAACTTTATCTGTGGCTGCGTTCACGCGCTTGTACGCTGTAAACTTCATTCTATCTTCATCACTCTCGTTACTTATAAATTGAAAACCAAAGAATAAAATAACGCTCTTGGAAGCTCTAAGGGTGCCCATGACACAGATTTTCCGCGTAACGCGTATCGCGGAGCAAGTATGTACGAT